GCCTGCGATGACCCCGCCGGAGATCCAGCCCAGGACCCTGTTGAGGAAGGCGGGCGTCAGATGATTCTCCAAAGGCGAAGCATTGATGTCCAGGCTGAGCGCGGCGTAGCCGATGGCCTGCGCGCTGGCCGCGACGCGGCCGCAGCCCCCGAAGAGCTCCAGGAACAGCAGCGACTTGAGACGCACGGCCCGGCCCAGGTTCGTCACGAGCCTCTTGGCCAGGTGGGCGCCGACGTCCCCGCCGTGAACCAAGTGGGTCACGTGGCCGGTCGCTCTCGACTGCGGCCGGCGGCGAACGTGGCCCCGGCGCTCAGGCCTGAGAGCCGGAGGGCCCTCCCCTTCGCCGGGACCTGGTCGAAAAGCGGGCCAGCCAGCCCGTGCTTCCCGAGCGTCGCGGCCGGGGTCATCACAACGTCTCCGAAGCTGAAGACGTCGTTGTGCACCTCCGCGGCGGCTTTGAAGGTCAGCCTGAACTCCGTCGCGTCGAAGTCCCACAGCGAGGCGTCCGTGTGAGCCGCCGCCTGGAGCCCTGCCACCGCAGGGGAGGTCCAGCTGGCCTGGTCGGTGAGCCCTGCGTCGTCCGACGTGTCGGTCCTGGACAGCAGGCCGAGCTCGAAGTCGTGGAGTAGCAGCCCCCACCTCACGCAACTTGCCCCTGCCGCCAGCACGGGAGAGACCAGGAGCCTTCCCAGCAGCGCGATCCCCTCCAGCGGCCTGCAATAGCAGATGAAGTCCAGCGTGGTGTAAATGGCCATCCGCCGACGGCCGAGGTATAGCATCACCTCCGCGATCGCCGCCACCCCAGTCCTTGGCATCGGCAGCCTCGAGCGCCCAGGATCACGTCGCTTCCAGGCGCCTGCCGCCCGGCACACGCGCGGCAGATACCGCCCGCTGCGCCGGGCCAAGCCTGGGATGACGTGCAGGAGCGCCGTGATCAGCTGCCTCCCCAGGTCCGAGCACCTGCCGTCCCGGAACTGGTGATTCAGCAGCGCGGCGACGGCAATGTCCAGTGACTCCCTGCCGTCCGAGTCCAGGCGGTACATCCGGCGGAAGAGGACCAGCGTCGCTATCCAATCGTGGTACTGTTTCTGCGTGTTCGAGCGGATCCCCGCGGACTCGAGGATCGGGAGGCCCAAGGTTCGCACCGTCGAGGCCACCACGAGCAGGGCGTTCTGCGCCCGCTCGACAGCGGCCAGCGCCGCCGCTGGCCGCCGGCGAGGCCCCATGGGGCCGGGTAAGGTGCACATGGTATGGAGTAGTGAAAAAACCGTGATCGCCTCGAGACGGATGGTCTGCAGGATTGAGTTCAGATGGTACCCAACGCACAACTATCTTGCATCCCGTGGTCAACGACAGAGCGGCAATCTTCTGAAGTACATGCCGAAGATATCGAGAGTTCGCCCGCCCTTTAGTGGCCGCTAGGGCCAGTGGCAAGTTATCCACTATAAACAGGATCTTCTTCCCGAGAGCCCCAGTGTTCCTGAGCGTGCGCCGAATAGCCATGAGAAGCGCCCCCCCCTCAAGCTCAAGGATGTCGGTGGACCCAGCAACCTTCGAAGCGTGAACAACCTTCCAAGTGTCAGACTTCAGGAGGCCTAAGGGGACCTCGTCGAAAGCCACGGGGTTGTCGACCAGCAGGTTCTCGAGGGCCTTGTCGGGGTCACCAGTGGAGCCCACAGCCATCGGATGAAGAGCGTGCTCGCGGGCCCGCTGGGCCCCCTCAACCCGGAAGCGCCACCTCTCGCTGCATCGGCCGATCGATGATACCATTGATATGGGAGCTTTTCGAACAGTGACGCCGAGACCAAACAGAGACGCGTCAGAGGCGGCCACCTCTGGCCACCACCCTGCGCTGACGTCAACGCTGAGCAGAGGTAAAATACAGCGTGCTCGCCAAAGCTCGCGTCGCACCGATCTCCAAAGACGCGCCTGCCGAGACCCGATCCGCTCGGCAAACTGGTAACTGGCGTTGAGCAAAGAGAGGACTTCTCGCCGTATCAACCCCGCCCACGTGAAATGTCCTATGATGACCCTGAGGGCGTCTCCAGAACAAAAACCTCTTCTGAGCAAAGCGTCCAAACCGAATCGAAGTCTCCAAATGCTCCTGGCCTTGATCGAAAGATGTCGCCCTCTCTTCAGCTCTAGCCCTACGAAGGTGGCGTCCCGTGCGGCAGGCTCCTCATCGTGAGTGAGAAGCCCTTTCTCCGTCAGCACGCGCGTGATGGCAAGGGCGGCCTGGTCGACGAGGGCCGGGGAGCGTCCCAGGGCGGCGTAGTTGTCGACGTAACCGGCGACCGCCACGGCGCCCTCCCGGTCGACCACGACCCCTGCCTTCCCGTCCTCGATGCACTGGTCTACGGTGAACCCAGCGGTGTCCATGGCGCGTCGGAGCACGCCCTGACAGAGGGCCAGCGCATGGCTCCAGCCCATCGGCAGGACGCACACGCAGGGCTGCACCCGCGCCCCTCGCGCGAGCGGGGCCCCGTCCAGGTGCGTGATCCCGAGCAGGCTGGCATCCAGGGCGGGTAGTCTGAAGTAAGAGGACAGCCCGTCGGGCAGTCGTAGTCTGTAAAAAGCATTGTCGATATCACCCGAGGCCAGGTAGGTGTCATGTCCAGGGTTCTCGAAGGCAGCGAGGGCCGTCGCAGTCGGCAAAGCCGCCCGAGCAGGTCGGCCGAAAAATAGGTTGGCATACCTCGTATCAAATATCACTCTCAGCTTCTTGTTCTTTCTCGCGACGAAAAAGCAGCCGACGGTGGCCGCGTCACAGTCCCCCTTCAGCTCCACCATGCCGCGAGCCAGCAACTTGGCGACAAAATCGGCGTAGAGCAGGGGCTTACTGAAGAGACTGGGGTCGAAAAAAGGTCCGTGAGGGCAGAACTCAGCACGTTCAGCAGCTGTAGGTCTATCTGGCCTGAGCAAGGTGCTCTGCCAGCGGCCCAGCCACTCAGATTCGGCCTCACCAAGGCAGGCGGCCAGTGGGACTGGCTGCAGGTCGGGCGAGGGCCAGGAAATGGACTCCTTGACATACGGCCGTCGGGAGGAGAGATCACCCGTCTGGTAGATCCCCGTCCCAGCGAGGAGCTCACGTAGGGCTCCCTCGCGAAAACCTGCCTCAGGTGGGGGCTTGCCAAGTGCACGTACTCGAGACTCGATGTAATCCACTGCGTGCCGGTGACCGGCGTTGGCAGGAGCCGCCGGCCGATCCTGGTGGCCGCACAAGTCGTTCAAGGCGTTGATACACTCGTCGCCCCAGTCGAGAATGTGCTTGGTAGCTGCACCCCGCCGCCGCGTGACCCGTGACAGATCATGGCGGCCCGCCGCGCCGTCATGGCCTCGGTGCAGAGGGGGCAGTGGAAAAATATCACGTTGGCGGCCACTGTGTCCCAGCGTGTCAAAAACCTCACTCTTGACCGGACCGGTGGAGGCGACCCGGCCCACAGGCGTCTCAGTCAGGGGATCGCGCTGGCCGCCTGAACCAGGCGCGACCGAAGGGAGCATCACCCCTTCTCCTCCCTCTCGTCCTTCTTCTTGTTGTCCTTCCTGGCAAGCTCCCTCCTCTCGCGCCATGCGGCGCTCCTCCTGCAGCGCCTGCTCCTTGGCCAGCTGGGGGCTGGCCCACTCCTGGGGGAGCGGGCACCCGCACACTCCTCCTCTCGCGAGCACGCTGCCCATAAGGAGATGCGCGTCCACGCTGTCGGGGCCGCCGCTGGCCGAGTCGCATGCTCGCCCGTCCTGGTAGCGTCCCTGCTGCACCTGGGTGGCGCGAGTGAGCATCTCCGCGGCCGCCAGGTTCGCCTTGTTGCACTGGTCGAAGCAGAGCAGCTCCTCCAGCGCCCTGCAAGCGTGCTCATGCTCCTGCACCCCGGGTTCGTGATCCTGGAGACGAGCCTCGCTGCGCCACCGAGCGTGCATCCCAGTCGGGGTCCTGCCGTGGTCGACGATGCACCGTGGAACCCAGTGTGTGGTGCGGGGGCTGCGCACATGTCGCCCCTGCCACTGGTCCTCCTGGCGCGCCAGCACCGCGTCGCGGAACACCCGCTGACTGATGCCCACCGTGTCGACACCATCGGGGGTGGTGACCAGGGCGGTCAGCCCCGCTCCGAGCGGCAAGTAGGTGGCTAGCCCCTCGCGGTACAGGTACGGGCTCCCGACGTTGTACTTCACCACACAGGGGTCGCCCACCTGCAAGTCGTGCGACCTTGTGAGCGGGTGGCAGCAAGCAGCAGCAGACTGCGTCATTGCGCCCATGCCCTCGACCTGTACTGAGCCGCCCGAGCTTGGGTGGTCGCGTCCAGGTCCTCCGGGCTCAGCTCGGTCCCAGCCCTCGTGCCTGTCCAGCGGCCAGCGGAGAACGCCACGAAGGCCACGCGGGCACGCGTGACCCAGCGTGAAGAGGGTCAGCGGCGAGATGAAGGCCACGTCGCCGGTCGAGTAGGTCAGGGGTGGGCAGTTCAACACTGGTGAGCACCCCAATTGGGCCGTCCTGCCCCACGACAAAGCACGCCGAGTCCCCTTCTCCGAATCGATCGGCAATATGGCGGAGGGCACTCTGCACGGGAAAGAATGGGGGAGGCCTGACTCAGAGCTTGAGCACAAGTGGCAGTGGCCATACGGCGACGCTCCCTACAGTGCCTGCTTCACGTACTGAATACACCCATCATCATCACCACCACCACCACCACCATCATCATCATCATCATCATCATCATCATCATCATCATCATCATCATCATCATCATCATCATCATCATCATCATCATCATCATCATCATCATCATCATCATCGCCATCATCATCATCATTATCATCACCACCACCACCACCACCATCATCATCATCGTCATCAGAGCCTTCGAGGACCTCCCCGAGGTCCTCCACAAAGGACTCCGAGAGCCTCCGAGGGTCTGTCCGAAGGCCTCCGAGGCCCTACGGGATGTCGACGCAGGCCGGAGGGGGGGGGGCCGCGGCGTCACGCGCTCGCTGGGGCGGGGCGCCGCTCCAGGCCGTTGAGGACCACGCGCTCGCCCGGTTTGAAGCCGCCTGGCCGTCGTCGTTGCCCTCGCCGCCGCCGCCGCCGCCGCCGCCTCCGCCGGCGCCGCCGCCGCCGTCGTCGCCGTCGTCGTCGTCGTCGTCGTCGTCGTCGATAGAGGGTCGACGACCTAGGTTCGAGGATCAAGAGCGTGGACGTGTTGGAGTCTCGTGGGCCTCCTGCGGCGGCCTGGTCGCCGCAGCTGGACTTTCGCCGAAACTCTGGCCCGAAGGCGCCCCAGCACAGGCCCGGGGACTTGACCTTGAGGCCGAAGACTAGGACCTCCAGGCTCGGCGGCGAGCCTAGGGGCGAAGTGAGAAGGAGCGGGCCTTCTCAGAAGGCTCGGAAGTCCCCCGGCCTTCTGAGAAGTGTTCTGAGCCGCCAGCGAGAACACGAAGAGCTTCTCGGAAGGCCTGGGGCTTCTGAGAAGCCCCGCCGCAGCCTGAGAAGGCATTCTCCTTCTCACTTCCGCCCGGGCGCGCCACCGAGTTTTTGGGTCAAACCTCGGGTCTCTGGAGGCCATTTGGGACGATCCGGGCACCCCCGGAACACTCTCGGCGAGATGCAGCCGCCGGGACGCATCCCGAAGCCGACAAGCCGCCGAGGACCCACGAAAACGCTCGCCGCCGAGATTTTGAGGCCGAAGACCAGGACCTCCAGGCATCGCAGGAAAAGCACGACGGCCGGTTTGCCCAAGCTTTGGGGCTCTACTGCCCGGGCCCAGGACCCAAGGCCATGGAACCCAAAACAAAGACCGAAAGGCAGTCTGCGAGAGGAGGTTTACAGATCCCAGGACTCACGTCGTCAATCTCCACTCCCCCCCTCCCCCCCCGCCTCCTCCTCCTCCTCCTCCTCCTCCTCCTCCTCCTCCTCTCTCCATCCATCCTTCATCCTCATCCTCATCCTCATCCTCATCCTCATCCTCATCCTCCTCATCCATCCTCATCCTCATCCTCATCCTCATCATCATCATCATCATCATCATCATCATCATCATCATCATCATCATCATCATCATCATCATCATCATCATCTCATCATCATCATCATCATCCATCATCATCATCATCATCATCATCATCA